CCACTAACAACTCACTTAACTATTTATTATTATATATGCATTATTTTAATAAGATATCAATTTTTTTATAGATAAAGATAAAATCAATGTTAAACAATATGATATTACTATAAATTTATCTATCCAAACCTCTAATAAAATTTAATATTGATGAATAATCACTCTCATGAAAGATTTTTTATTTTTTGTTTTAATTTTTTAAAGTTGCACACTTATTAATTTAATTTTAATGTTGTATCCATGATACTTAGTTTAATAATTTTTACTTTAGATTAAATATTATTTTATATTGAAATTTATTTTAAATTATTTTTTTTAAAAAAATCAGGTGGGTTGGTGGGCGGTCCGTTTAGCCCACCAACCCGTGGTGGGCCGGGCTAGAAAAATTTGCATAATATATTTGGTGGGCGGGGCTGGGTTGGCCCACTTAAAAAATGGGTTGAGGTGGGCCGGGCCAAACGGGCCGGGCTGGCCCGTTTTGACAACTCTAACTAAAAGTACAATATAAAATATTTTATACCTTAACTTATTTGCTATGCATAAACACCGGATTTAGATGTAATGATCTATCATGTCAATATATATATTGTGAGAAATTTGATTACGTTGGAATCATGAAAATAAAAGTTGAAATATATATTATTTATTATTAAAATTACATTAACATCAATATTAATAAATAATAAAATTAAATAACAATGATTGAAATAATATACTAAAAAAAGTTTAGAGAAAATTGATTTGAAACACGGTAGACACTATCTTTAAAAAGAAATTGTCTCTATTGTACTTAAAGATTAATTTTGTACTGTACTCTTGTCCCAAAATACTACAAGTAGTTAGATAAGTCATGTGCAGTGAAGGATTTTTAAATTAAAAAACACCGCTCTAAAATATATGTAATAATAAAAATAATTTTTAAGAAAGAGAGATGAATGAAATGTTGTATCTTATATATATCTCTATTGATTCATGAAATCAAAATATATAAAGTTCATGCTAGCGCAACGTTATAAATGAGGAACAACCTCATTTTACACAAAACCATATTGCAACTAGGTTTAAAAAATAACTAATAATAATATAAAATAAATTTTGGAATCTTAAATAATAACTAAATCAATAGAATTTAATTTTTAAAACTGACAATAAAAATTAATTTAAAATATTAAAATATTAAAACATAAATTAAATAGATTCCATTTAATTAAATTTTAGATTATAATAACATTCTCCAACAGATTCGTGTTCATTTAAATGGATGAGAGATTGTTAAAATAAATAAAACTCATTTTTAATGATTTTTATGTTTCAAACCTAAAAGAAAAAACGCATTTGAGAGAAATCTTAATTAGGTCCTGAAAATTAACTGAAGTGTTAGAGTTATTATATACTAAAGCAAAATGTCTATTTGTAATAAAAAATAAAAATTGTTATAATACTCTTATTGTTATATTTATTATGTACGTAAAATATACACTAGTATGATGTGGTATAAGATTGGTAGAGTTATGTTTCTTAAACGGATAGTCAAGTGACCACTAGGGTTAGCTTAGTGGTTGGGTGGGGAGGGGTTGGAGTAGTTAGAAGCATGAAGACCTAGGTTCAATCCTCATTGTGATCATCTTTGTAATTTTTCTTCTCTTAAAAAAAAAAAAGAAAACAGATAATCAAATATTCAATCTATATCCATTTGTATATGAAAATTATATATTTTGAGAGATCATTCAATTAAATTAATAAAACATTTTTTAAAGATTGAAATTAAATTAAATTATATTTATAAAGTTTAAAATCATAATTAAATTAAATCGATTACATTTATCATAGATAGATTACAATGTATTTTTTTTAATTGACGCAGACTACAACGTTTTGTGTTACCTTTTACCAAAATGTGTTATATTTTTATATTAATGTTAATGTCTTTGTAAATAATTTATAGGGTAAAAGTTATTTTTACTTCCTATATTTTGAATTTATTTTTGGTTTTTTAATTTTTTTATTAAATTAATTTCTCTAAAAATAAAACATACTGAAATTAGTCTTTATTTATACTTTAAAGAGACTAACTTAGTACGAGTATTTTAGTAAACAAGGATTAACTTCAACATGTTTTGCTTTCAAAGAGACTAATTTAACACAAAATTATTTTGGACAATTGAAAACGATTGTGTTTTTAAGGAATTAAATTTAACTTGCATCCTAATTTATATATAGTGAATTTTATTCATATATATTAATAAGATTGAGGTACTTCCTATCTTTATATTTTATTTAATAAAAATATCTAAAAATTATTAATATTTGATATATCAATTAATATTATATTTGATTTTTAAACTTAAAAGTTTTAAATTTAAGTTTTATATTTATAAAAGTAATTAATTTTTAATACTTTTTATTGTTTACAAATTTAAGGATAAAATTTTCTAAGAATGTGTATATCAAATGAAACAATCTTCTTTATTATATAACATGGAAGTTTCACTTCCTCTTAAATTAGGCGACAATAGTATTAATAAAAAAATATAGAAAAGTAAAAATAAATTTAGAAGACTTAAATATGTTTTTTATTTTCACTAATTTTTTAGTTCATTTGATTTGAGAAAATATTGTTTTAATCCTTATTAATAAAAAAATATAGAAAAGTAAAAATTAATTTAGAAGATTTAAATATATTTTTACTCTCTCAAATTTAAAATTAATTTTTTTAATCTATTTGATTTGAGAAAATATTGTTTTAATTCGGCCCTCTAGTCAATTGTTATTAATATTTTGTCAAATAAAAATTAACTTATTATTAAATTTGTGACACAAAATTTACTTTGTCAAATAAAACTTATCTATCATTATTAGTTATGTTACTTATAGTTGTAACTCAATGAGACAAAAATAATATTTTTTAAAAACAAATTTAAAAAAAAATTAGCTTTAAATTTGAAAAAAAAAAATATCCAAAATTTAAAATATTAAATATATTTAAGCTAATTAAAAACAAGTATTTTCACATGTACAAGGCCTCAGAGAAATCATTGCTCTCGATTTTAAAGTAAAAGTGTATATAGAGAATATTTAATCCCATGTTAAGCACTTGAACCATCAAAATAATTATGTATGGTTGAATTGTACATGTAGACAATGTTTAATTAATTATCATCATGTAGTTAAGTCTACTGAAATAGACCATAACATTCTATTCAAGAATAAAGACTAGACTAGATCACTTGTTTGTCTTTGATGGGCTCCCTATCGGTTGGGCCAGGTAGACAGATAATGTCAACAATAACGTTCTCAATGAACCGTTTTATGATAGGAATTATTATGCTTTTAGTGCTTGGGCTGTAATTGCATCATCATAAAAGAATTATACTGCTATAAACTTAAATTATTAATGTAAATTTTATGAGTTTAAATTAACATTAAAATTTTGTTGGTATAAAAACTGAAATATATCACTATTAATATAGAAATCTATAATATTTTATAATAGTAGTGTAACTTCCTTAGATAAAGAGTATGTTATTAGAAATAATACTAATTTAACAATTTTTATACATCAGTGAATATAATAATATTTTTTATATGTAAAATGCATTTAATTGATATAACAACAACAACATAAGATTTCTAACATACAAATTAGGAGGGACAAATGAATTTATTTATTTATCATTCATTCTATCTATTTATAATTAAGTCTATCCATTACAATAAAAATAAATAATAAGTTAACTTGAATCCATTCATTTAACTTTATAAGTAATTGGTGATTCTTCCATTATTTTCTCAAAACCTATTGAATTATAATATGAAATGTTTATTTGTTTGAAATTTTTAAAAACTATTTTAATATATATATATATAT